GCTATGGGACATCCAAGATATATATATTGATCAATAACCAGAAGGTTATTAATTCTACTTCACAAACTTCGACAATGCATGCACATTTTAATTTTCGATAAAAAACAAAGGTAACAAACTCCTATAACAGTGGATAAAATACAAGAAATCAGTCTAACTGAAAATACCACGTCTACCTTAGAACGTCTATAATATCAATTAAGAAGTCTGCTACAAAACTTACTAACAGGTGGAAAAGGGGCAGCTAGTATCTCTCCAACAAACAAAATCATACCATACAAAATAGATTGCCTGCAGTCAATAAAACAGTAGTAGGGCATCTGAACAAAAAAATACATAGGGAAAATGGAACATGTCGTTTCGAAGATTACATTAATCCTGTCAATGTTAACCACAATACTGAAGATAGGCCATAATGGCCACATGACCATCTGCACTGTACTGATAACGGAACTGCATGTCTTCATTGCTATCATTATAGATTAACATATTTAATTGTTTCAGCACAAAGGTTCCATAATGTCAGGGTAAATTCAAGAATCTTCACACGCACTTAATAGACCATGTAATAGCATGTTGAAAACTACGCAGGAAAAGCATGGTTCCGAGATACTTAAGTCTTGAGATCAGTTCAGTCTTACCACGAAAATGAAGACCATATGATGTCTGGTGCAGCTCCCTATTCATCAGTAGAGAATCCTTTGATTTATTTACATGAAGATTCTTATTGGGCATGGCTGGATCAATCCGAGTATATATATCTGGATGATTGATTCCACACATGTGGAGCAGATATTGGAGATTATTAAGATTCTAGCTTATTCCAAACTTTATTTATTTTTATCCCAGTTCTAGACTTCTAATGTCTGTGAAAGAAGAAAATCTTGACCGGAACACAAAATGGCAACAAATAAGAAAGAGTTATCACCGAAGCAATGCAGTTAAGAGTTCCGGATACCTTTCAGAAAGAAGTGACATATATTAGCATATTTTATCAGAACAATTCAATCTGCAAATTAGCAAACATGGACATTCCAGTGCATAGTAGTACGAAAAAAGGTGAAAAACAAGTGAACTGTGACACAATGTAACAGCTGAATCAACAATGACATGTTAGAATGCGAAAATATTGGAGATGAGAATTTCATTGACCTCTTGTTGGACTCTTCAAATCAGATCACTGATGGCGCTTCCAGCAGCGAGGCTTCCCCACGGCAAGGCATCTTTCTGGCTATTGTAACTCTGGAGGATTATGCCATCAGTAGATAATCTACCAAGACCTAAGGCTTCTCCATCCGGCCACGGCTGCAGCTGCGTCCACATCGCCATGGATGCTCCACCATATCCGCCTGGACGAGCGCAGGCTCTTCATCACCAACCTCTTGTTTAGCCACGATGCCACGGTGGCCACCAGGCAGCTTGAAGCCACAAACGACATGCTTGAGCACACATCGCCATGTTGGGGGCCACACCTGACAGCGACACCACGCAACGCGTCATGGCGGCGTTCATGGAGGCGTTGACGCGATGCTAGCTCCCCGCATGGGCTGGCCTGTGCAGGGCACTACTCCTACCCCGTGCAGCGCCCACGCCACCATCGCACCCTATACCATGCAATCAAATTGGCAGATAGAGTGCAAAATAATGGAACAAAATTGACAGAAAGATGAACAATGTGCAAGTAGCAACCTCAAAATAGGAGGACTACTCGTTTTGAAGTTTCAGAAGAGTTGATCTCAGAAAACTTCAATTGAACGCAAGGCCGAGTAGCAATGTACCCGGATTAGCAGCCTGATTTTTAGATGGTGTAGCTGGCAAATCTTCAAATCTAGTCCCCAAGAAGGAAATCAAGAGCAGATCATGAAGTTAATATACAGAGCTTCCAGAAATCACACATTCACCTACATCCAAAATGAAGCCTCCACCTGCCAAAATCACATGCCTAGTTCTTATAGTGTCCCAAAGGCAGTATGTAAGGCAGCGGAATGGATGATCAAATCATAAAACACAATCTAGTATTTACCAGCGATTCAGTATCCTGCACGTCGGACTGGATCTCAGAGAGCATCTGCTTCATCTTGTCTGCTTAGATCTCACCATGTAAGATGAAACCAACAACAGCGAATAGAAATAGGCACGGGAAGAGAGGGTGGCGATCTTGGCGAAGACCTCGCAGACACAGAGTCACAGTACTGGCGCTTGTAGCCCTGGAACACCTCGCTGCTTATGATTGCTCCTCTTGATCGCCTTTCATGGCATGTATTAAAGATAAATGGTAGCTAACCAGACCTGGCCGCTGCCACCGCCGAGAGGAGGTTGAGTAGTCAACCATTTGCGTAGGTGAAAGCTGCTATGTACGTCCTTGATCCATCGCCCACCGTCCAGGATCGACCCATGCACTTGAGACAATACTGAGCGCGCATCGAAGCAGACTTCATGGCTATGTCCCGGATCCACCGCCCTCTGTCCTGCTTGACCCATCCATAGGAATCAACACCGGACACACCGGCTCGTCATCGATGCCTACGAGTTGTTTCATTGCGAGGTCAAGGGGGACCGCGGAAGGGCCGCACTGGTGCCTGTGCTACGTGCTACTCGCTAGCGGCGTCAACTGGGAAGGGGCGGCTAGGGTTTGAACAGGGAGGAGGAGACACAGCTTGCGTGGATTTTTCATTGCTTGTGTGCGTGGGTATGACGGTTTTGCTGGTTCTTTCGCCGGATTGCATGGGGGTGGGACCACGTAATTAAGAAGAACGAATCACGTCTGAGTTTCAAAAAAAAAGAACAAAACACGTTTGGGGTGGAACGTACGCAGGGAAAACTAACAGCACGCGGGAGGGAGGCTCGACAAAGGGTTCGACGACGTAAGACGGGAAACGAAGCACTGCGTTTCTTTTGGGTATTATTATTATTATTATTATTATTATTATTATTATTATTATTATTATTATTAGAGAATTAGAGATTAGAGATAGAGATTAGAGATTATTTGTTTCCTGAAAATCTATTACTTGTTTCCTAAAGCAAATTGCATTAATGAGAGAGATCCGTTGATTTGGCTAAGGTAGGAAAGAATCTATTATTTGTTTGCTAAAGCAAATTGCATTAATGGAAGAGATCCGTTGATTTGGCTAAGGTAGGAAAGAATCTATTATTTGTTTCCTATATAAAGCAAATTGCATTAATGAGAGAGATTCGTTGATTTGGCTAAGGTAGGAAAGTTAGATCCGTAATCTTTTGTCATTAGGAAAGTGTTGAAAATAAACCGTTCCGGACTACCAACTTCTCCATTTGGTTTTTTTTCGCTAGTTAATTTTCGTAGGTTTTTTTCGCTGGATTGTCTTGGGTGCGATCGGAGGTTAGGCCCTGGAGTGCGTGGGGCGGGTGGGGGCTTCGGTACGCGGTTTTTTCGGTTCGTGGCGGCTCAGTGTAAGGTGGGACGAGGTACCAAAAAAAACCATGGAAAATAGGACGAAAAAAACCTGAAAGCGAGACTACCAACTGCTTCATTAGGAGTAGAGATAATATAATAACTAATATATTAACAACACTATTGCTTGAAGGGTCCAATCAGAAGCTCCTATTTATTTTAGTTTGCCAAGCAATCTGTGTGTGCTGCAATCTTCAAGCAAAATTTACTTTTTGCATAGATCACAATAATAAAGGCAACAAACGGAAGATTCATGAATTTGTTGCTGCTACCCAGATAGAAAATTGAAGGCAGCCTACCTCATCTTTCCAAGTTGATTGTGAGACTTACTTTATTCCAGAACGTGATGTCCATGTGCCACCAAAATGGCTCCCAAGGATGGCACTACTTGCTAGTTATTCCAGAGTTGATAGTGAGAACATTCCACATCTGCAGCCATAAAAAATAATCAATTGAATGGAGTTCTTATAACGGGGAAACATAACTTGAAGGCAGCAATCCTTGATATCCATCAGTTCTGACACAACAATAGCAAATAGGAGAAGTTAAGAAAGATCTAAAACCAGGTGTGCTGCTCCAATGAATCTGTGTGTAACAAGAACGAGAGGTCGGGGAAGAGAGAAAGGGCACAAAAGGGAGAGGGGGAGTACATGCGTGTCAAGGGTAGCCTGGCCTCGCCGGCGTGCGTCCCTCCCGCTCCAGATCAGGAACCTGGGAGAAGGTGAGGAAAGGTGGCGACAAGGTGCACGCCAGCGCGGCTGCTGCTCCCCTTATCTTGTCGAGGCCAGACTGAGGACGCGTTGCGGCTGCTGCTCCTCTCCTCTTGCTGACGCAGGCGGTCCATGGTGGACACAGGCGAGGAGGAGGAGGCCCCGCCGCCGCCGGGCTTGTCCACCACCATGGATTTCTCTCCGATGCTGCAGGGATTTGGGGCAGGGATGCGGCAACAGCAGGAGCGGAGGAGGCGGCGACATAAAGGCAACGGTTGTGACTACAAGTTCTTCAGGGTTTATATGTTCAATGAGAGTATCAGTATAGTCCTTTTGCATTTACCAGTATCTCTCATTCTAGGTTCTATTGGTAGATGCAAAGCAAGAGTCGAGGTCAAAAATAAAGGTCTTAACTTTCATGCAACTGATAAACAACAATACCCAAATAGGACGACCTATGATATACCTCTTAGACATTTTGACAGCAGATTGAACTGCCAAAATATCTTATATTCAGGAATGGAGGGAGTATTACCCAGTTGCCAACAACTTACAAAACTCGATCATGCACACCAAAAAATATACCAAGATTCAATTAGCCAACAAACCTGTAATTCACAGAAATGCTAGAACATACATAATCTTGCCAACCATTCAAATGACTTAAAGCCCATGGCAAAACAAACTCTGAAGAGTTCAACATGGAATTCAAGATACAATATATTAAAGGTTCCAGAACCAAAACATTATCTAGGGCAAAACATCATCCAAGGTAATCATCTAAACAAGAACACTCCTTAAGATTCTGGAAATGGACCAACACAGTAATACAAAGCTATGCAGGATCTTTGTCAAGCAGCTTATCGCTTCTTGGAGACACCAACAGTCTTTCCTCTCCTGCCTGTAGTCTTGGTGTGCTGACCACGGACACGCACGCCCCAGTAGTGACGCAGACCGCGATGGTTCCTGGAAAAGAGAGGAGTTTCAAGCATAAGTGATCACTCACACATCTATACAGTAGGACAATGCTGCTGCAACAGTTAAGTTAAGGAATCAGCCATCAGCATACATCTCTTGGAAACAAAGCATCGATATACAGAACAGCTGGGTCACATACAAGGTACAATAGAAGGGTACACATGAATACATTGACAATCATCAATTACCAGATTACAAGACAGAAATTATGAAATTAAGTCAACAAGAGCATAGGGCAGACTTTAAAATCTGGACACAAGTAGTAGAAAACAAGTTCCAACAGGTTGACTAAATTGAACTGTTATATAACAGTAAGTTAGAGCTGGCACAAGTTCCAGGTAATATCCATCAATACAGAGCTAGCATGCTGTGTTTCTGTAGAAATAAGCATCAATTCACTATCTAAGCAAAAAGCTAGCCCAAATGTCTAAGCAGACTAGCACAGGCACATAGAATTTAGCACATGATGCTAGTACTTGCTACCCTGACATTTCAGACATTCTGGTGTTTAGGAGATTTGACTTCCAGCAGAAAACTCGTCAATCAACAACCTAGCAAATAATGACAAATTAAACTGTCTACTACCATGCAAGACACATACTGCTAGTACTAATATGCGAAATGCAAGCATCATCAGTAGCTGAATCTAACACAAAGTCATATATATCAAGCAATAGTAAGGGGCAAAAAGAAAAGAGGGAACGGCGAGGTTATACCTGATCTTCTTGAGCCTCTCAAGGTCATCCCTGAGCTTCATGTCCACGGCGTTGGACACGACCTGGGAGAACCTCCCGTCCTTGTAATCCTTCTTCCTGTTGAGGAACCAATCCGGCACCTTGAACTGGCGCGGGTTGTGCACCACCGCCATCAGACGGTCCATCTCCTCCGCGGAAAGCTCTCCGGCCCTGCACACCCACACAAACAAAGCGCACGGATCAGCACCACACCCACCACGGCGAGATCTGGCGAGAAAGGGGGGCGGACGGGTTCCTCACCTCTTGTTCATGTCGATGTCGGCCTTCTTGCAGACGATGTTGGAGAAGCGGCGGCCCACACCCTTGATGGAGGTCAGCGCGAACATGATCTTCTGCTTACCATCGACGTTGGTGTTGAGCACACGCAGGATGTGCTGGAACTCCTCACCCGCGATCAGCGACTGCGGCCAAGGAAGATTCACGGATGTCAGCACACGAGGAGGGATCCGCGAGAGGTGGAGGACGGCGGAGAAGGGAGGGGGGAGACGCTTACCATGGCTGCAGTCGGCGGCGGCGGCGACGGCGGCGGCGGCTGGGGCGGTCGGGGGCAGGAAGGGAGGAGGTGCGTTCGCGTCTAGGGTTTTGGAGCCGGGGTCGCGGGGATGAATTTTATATACCCGAGGTGAAACCCTGGTGCTTCATCGGACGGCTGTGATCTGCGGGAGGGATGCCGATCCCTGCGGGCTCTGTAAATGGGCGGCTTTCTTGGGCTCTACTGGAACGGGCCTTTTTCTGGACTTTCTTGGGCTCTTTTTGAACGGGCCGTTGGGGGAGCTCTGCCTCGCCTCGCAGGAGCATTTGCTCTTTATTGTTACCCCTCAAAAAAAATTGCTCTTTATTGTCTCAAAAAAACAATTTTGCTCTTTCGTTTCTTTCTCAAAAAAAAAAAAAGTTTTGCTCGCAGACCTAGATTAATAGTATTACAAACTACTGTATATCTGTAGCATTATGCCAAGTAGTATATTATTGCAACTTGAATTCATTTGGGTAGCAGACCTAGATGAATAGTATTACAAACTACTGGAGTACATCCAAGTATATTAATGGAAACTGAATTCATTTGGGTGGCAGAGACACCACAAAAAAAGCTCTGAAGGTAAACAGTGGGTGGGAGTTGAACATAAAACTCTACACTGTTGAAGGACTTCGCATGGCCCCTACCACTCCCAGCGGGACGTGTATCCCATTCCAGGATATAAGCAACTCCGGGTCGAGGTAGCCACAGGTTCCTTGCACGAGCGTGACGAACTATGACTCGTCTGCCGGTGCTAGGATGGAGGCGCCGAAGTCAGAGACCTTGGCCGTGAGGCCACCATCGAGGAGGATGTTGGAGGACTTGACTCGCCATGGAGGATGGGTGGCGACGCCCAAGAGTGCAGGTAGGCGAGAGCTTCAGCAGAATCATGGGCAATCTACAGACAAGCTGCTAGGGAGATGCGCTTGACGGGGCTGCCATGGATGAGTTGGTAAAACGTGCCATCTCGGACGAACTCGTACACCAACGTGGGCACTTCAACCTCGAGGCAGCATCCCAACAACTTGACGATGTTCCTGTGGTTTATCTGAGATAGGATCAACATCTCCCGACCGAACTCTTTCTTGTTCTTCTCGTCGATGGTCTTGCATCTTTTGACGGCAACCTCGACGCCACTGTCGAGAAGCCCCCTGTAGACGGTGCCATGTCCTCCATAGCCGATGATGTGCTTCTCGTCAAACTTGTCGGTGGCTTGCTGTAGCTCCTCCGAGAATATCTTGAAAGAAACTCCTTGTTGTGACTTCATTTTTTCAAATAGAAGCATGTCGCCATGCTGCCGAAAATACTTATGTTTGATGGACTCTGTCCTTCGTCTTTCCTTAACAAGGTATCCGCAGGTGAAGAGAACTGATGACCCACAAGTATAGGGGATCTATCATAGTCCTTTCGATAAGTAAGAGTGTCGAACCCAACGAGGAGCAGAAGAAAATGATAAGCGGTTTCCAGCAAGGTATTCTCTGCAAGTACTGAAATAAGTGGTAACAGATAGTTTTGTGATAAGATAATTTGTAACGAGCAACAAGTAACAAAAATAAATAAGGTGCAGCAAGGTGGCCCAATCCTTTTTGTAGCAAAGGACAAGCCTGGACAAACTCTTATATGATGTAAAGCGCTCCCGAGGACACATGGGAATATCGTCAAGCTAGTTTTCATCACGCTCATATGATTCGCGTTCGGTACTTTGATAATTTGGTATGCGGGTGGACCGGTGCTTGGGTGCTGCCCTTACTTGGACAAGCATCCCACTTATGATTAACCTCTATTGCAAGCATCCGCAAATACAACAAAAGTATTAAGGTAAACCTAACCATAGCATGAAACATATGGATCCAAATCAGCCCCTTACGAAGCAACGCATAAACTAGGGTTTAAGCTTCTGTCACTCTAGCAACCCATCATCTACTTATTACTTCCCAATGCCTTCCTCTAGGCCCAAACAATGGTGAAGTGTCATGTAGTCGACGTTCACATAACACCACTAGAGAAGAGACAACATACATCTCATCAAAATATCAAACGAATATCAAATTCACATGACTACTAATAGCAAGACTTCTCCCATGTCCTCAAGAACAAAAGTGACTACTCACAAAGCATAAACATGATCATAATCAGAGGGGTATGAATGTGCATATAGGATCTGAACATATGATCTTCCACCAATTAAACCAACTAGCATCAACTACAAGGAGTAATTAACACTACTAGCAACCTACTAGCACCAATCCTGGACTTGAAGACAAGAATTGGATACAAGAGATGAACTAGGGTTTTGAGATGAGATGGTGCTGATGAAGATGTTGATGGAGATTGCCCTCTCCCGATGAGAGGAGTGTTGGTGATGACGATGGCGATGATTTCCCCCTCCGGGAGGAAAGTTTCCCCGGCATAACAGCCCCGCCAGAACCCTAGATTGGTTCCGCCTCATGGCGACGGAGTTTCGTCCGAGAAGATGGCTTATGATTATTTTCCCATCGAAAAAGTCCATATAGCAGAAGATGGTCACCAGAGGGTCACCAGGGGGCCCACGAGGTAGGGGGGCACGCCCAGGGGGGTAGGGCGCGCCCCCCACCCTCGTGGGCAGGGTGTGGCCCCCCTGGTGAAGTTCTTGCGCTCAATGTTTTTTATATATTTGGAAAATATCATCCGTGAAGTTTCAGGACTTTTGGAGCTGTGCAGAATAGGTCTCTAATATTTGCTCCTTTTCCAGCCAGAATCCCACCTGCCGGCATTCTCCCTCTTTATGTAAACCTTGTAGAATAAGAGAGAATAGGCATAAGTATTGTGACATAATGTGTAATAACAACCCATAATGCAATAAATATTGATATAAAAGCATGATGCAAAATGGGTGTATCAAGAACCACAAGGGCAACAAATCCGATACTTGCACCTGCGTAAGTACACGTCAATTTAGAACCCAAGCCAAACAGATAGCAGATTACTCAGGATAATACAAGTCTCCTAGTATATCGGTTATAATAAATCTTATATTATGGGACAGATGGAGTATTTCTTAGTATATTGAAGAGAGAAATTGATTGACATACCAACGGTAGGCATCACCCAAGCATGCCTTTGATATGGCACGCAAACACCCTAGATCATCTGCTTTCCTGGTAGGCAGGGACATGTGAAACTTCCCACCGTGTTAGCGCACATACCCACGCAAGGATAAGTGGCACTGTCAAGACACTCATCGATATCTGCAATGACAAATTTGAAGCTAGATCAGCTAACTTTCTCACAAACTCGGTAAATCTGTCACAAACTCTTACGACACAATCAATTAGAGAGGCAGAGAGCTAGAAGACCTGTGCATCCGCCATTGATGTATGGTACCCAGCTGAGCACTTGCAGCGGTAACCAGGCTGGTTCGGGGAGTTGACACATTCGTTGTTCCGACCAGTACATGCGTAGGAGCTCATGTTTCTCTTGGCTTCATCACACGACCAGGGTCCTACGTTCCAGTCCAACACGGCCGGGGGTTTCCCCTTGTAAGTCTCGTTGAACACTGTCGATGTTAGGTATGTGGTGCTGAAACTAAAGCCCGCCTTCTCCATCATCACAACGTAGCTGCAGGGCTGATCAGGGTCTGTGCTATTGTAATACTCGTTTAGATATGATTGAAAGTAGTTCAAATTCTTCGGGATGTCCGCCTGGCAGCAGCCACCGCGGCGGGAGCATGTGCCATTTAAGGGTCTCCCGTTGCATGTCGAGTATCATCCTATTACGGCCTACATGATTTTTTGAGCGTGATGAGGAACATCGTTCCCTTATCACCATTCTAACTTTAATCAAGAACAATAATCAAGAGATAGCTTGGAAATACTATTAAGTAGCCACATTTGTGTTCATCATTTTTAGCGAGGACATATTGAATGCTAATGCCTTGATACCTACGGGATAATCGCCCCTCCTTGAAAGAATAGTCACTCATTGAATCCAATTAATATATTCTTCAAACTTATTCAATTTAAGGATTCTTATCATAATTTATACTTACAAAAGACATTTATTTTGAAACGGAGGGATCTGTTTTGCTAATTTGAACCTCTAATATCAAATTCAAGAACAAGTAGGCAAACAAAATGAGTTGTACTAATTGTATTTAACCCAAGATTATGTACACCCATTTTTTTCCTTTCGGATGGAATTGTCCCCACTGTGAACATAGTATAACTTGGGTGGTTAGCGGAGGTGGTTCTGCCCCTAGCTCACCAAGAACCAAATCAACCTCTAGTTTAACGTTTTGTTGTCACATCGATGCAGCTATTCTTTTGGAGGGGCGATGATTCCGTTGGCATCAAGGCGCCTATAGTGACTTCTTCAATTTCTAGCCCTGTCAATTTTAGTCTTATAGTTGCTCATATATAGTTGTGCGGGGTGCATATGTATGGTGGTGTGCCTCTATGGTTGTATATGTTCTAAGAAAATGAAAGTGTCCCATTTGTCGGGCCCACTTACCCCACCTCTTCATGCTTGCCGTACTTTGTGAACTTGTCTTCCTCGAGCAACTCCTCCTCTATTAGGCCACGTTCCGGTTAGGAGGGATTAGCTGGGATTAATGGGATTGAGCTGGCAATCCTCATTAAGCTGAACTAAACCTTCCTAAGCCGAACATATACCCTTAAGGAAGTGCCCTCACTAATAGAAGACGCACCTAAATGCACATTTAAACCACACCATGGCTACACACACAATATAATTGTATATATCATGAAAAAAATTATCAGCAGACATGGTATTCTATATATTTTGACATTACACATCCTGATTTTTATATACGAGCAAAGAAAAATAAAATGAAAATGATAGAGGCACGTTGTATATATAAAGTGCATCTTTTATACTCCCTCCGTTTCAAAATAAATGTCTCAAGTTTAATACTACCTCCGGAAATACTTGTCATCAAAATGGATAAAAAGGGATGTACTACATACATCCCTTTTTATCCATTT